ACTAGCAAGCCAAATAAGTATCTAGGCAGCGTGGCAGCGTGGCAACTAGCGAGCTAGCCAGCTGGCTAGCTAGCTGGCTAGCTAGCTGGCTAGCTAGATAGCTGGCTAGTTGACTAGCTAGCTAGCTACTAGGCGGGCGAACATCAGCAACCCGGATAGCCAAATCTCTGTTATTCTAGTTAGTTGCTTAGCTAGCTGGCTAGCTAGCCACTAAACTAGCTAGCTAGCTAGCTAGACAGGCAGCTAGCTAGCTAGCCACCAGCGGCAGCAAACACAAAACGCCTTTTGAGGCCCCTAAGGGGCCCCATGGCCGCCTTGGGGGCCCCCTAGAGGGCCCCCTAAAGGGCCCCTAGAGGGCCCCTAAAGGGTTCCCTTAAAGTGCCCCTTTTAATGCCCTTAAAGGGGCCCCTTGGGGGCCCCAAGGCGGCGCCTTTGGGGGCCCCAAGGGGCCCCTTAGGGTACTGGGCAGGGCCTCGGGGGCCCCTAAAGGGTCCTTTGAATGGCTCCTTTGGAGGCCCCCAAAGAGGGTCTTTTGGGGCCCCTCGGGGGCCCCTTAACACACCCGTGGGGGCCCCTTGGGGGCCCCTCGGGGGCCCCTAAAGATCCCTTTCAGGGGCGCCTTCAGCAGCCCTAAAAAGTCCCTTTAAGGTCCATTTGAAAAGACACTAAGGGTCTTATTAAGAGCCCTTTGGGGGGCCCCCAAAGGGCCCACAAAGGGCCCCCAAAGGGCCCCTAAAGGACTTCTAAAACCGCCCCAGGGGCCCCCCAAGGGGCCCCCCAAGAGGCCCTAAGGGGCCCCTCTAGAGGCTTTCTAAAAGCCCCCAAGGGGCTCCTCAGAAGGTCTTTAATGGGCCTCCCTAAAACCCCGAAGGGGCCCCAAGAGGCCCCCAAGACGCCTCCCAGGGGGCCCCCAAGGGGCCCCCCAGGGCCCTCAAGGGGCCCCCAAGGAGCCCCTAAGGGGCCCCCCAGGGGCCCCCTTGGTGTTTATTGTGTTTATTGAAGGCTGGAGTCTCCTTGGTTTGCTATCTCCTCCAATAGAGATGCCACCTGAAGGACATCGCAATGCAGGCATTCACTGCAGCAGCAGCAGCAGCAGCAGCAGCAGCAAGTGCAGCAGCAGCAGCAGCAAGTGCAGCAGCAGCAAACGCAGCAGCAGCAAGTGCAGCAGCAGGTAACTGACCTCCGCTTCTAGTCGTTTCACTGTTGCCTCAAGCTGCGCGACGCGCTTGGAGGTTTTGCTGCTGCTGCTGCTGCTGCTGCTGCTGCTAGGTGTTGCTGCTGTTGTTTTGCGGCGTCTCGCATGCCCCGCTGTAATGGTTTGCTGCTGCTGCACCTCTAGCCTGGCCGCTGCTGCTGCTTTTGCTGCTCCTGCTGCCTTTGCTGCTGCTGCTGCGGGTTGAGGCTTCTCTTCAGAGCCCCCGTTTGCGCTGCTGCTGCCGTTGCTGCTGCTGTGGCTGCTGCTGCTGTGGCTGCTGCTGCTGCCGCTGCCGTTGCTGCTGCTGCTGCCGCAGGGGGCCCGCTGGTCCGCCGCAGCAGCCTCACCCGCCTCAATAGCAGCAGCAGCAGCAGCAGCAGCAGCAGCAGCACCAGCTTTGTCAGTCTGCATGGAACTTGTCAACTGATCCAGAAAAAGGACTTCTTTAATTATTTTTTTATTTTGTTTTTTCAAAAAAGAAACAGAAGACACCAAAGAGAGTTTCCGGCACTCCAAATCTGCTATTTTCACCTGCAGCAGCAAATTGAAAAAAAGAAATTTTAAATTAAATTAAAAGTGAAGTAAAGAAAAAAGAAAAGGCAAATAAATAAATAAAAAGATAATAAAGAAGATAGAAAGAAGATACCAAGAAAATAAAAAAGAAATAGAAACGAGGTTAAACGAGATACGGGAAGAAAGCAAAAAGAAACAAAAAAGCAACACTAAACCCTAAACCCTAAACCCTAAACCCTAAACCCTAAAAAAGGGCTTTACTTGTATTTCGAGAGCTCTTTCGTCGAGACTGTTTATTTGGGCGTTGCAAATTTCCAATTCGCTCAATAAGGCGCTTTCCAATGCGTGCAGACGCACCTGCAAACCCTAAACCCTAAACCCTAAACCCTAAACCCTAAACCCTTAAGCCTAAACCCTAAACCCTAAACTCTGAACTCGAGACCCTAGAGAGCTGTTAGACCCCGAAATGCAGCTCCAAACCCTGAAGAAGCCGAAACCCTTGAACCCTAAACCCTAAATCCTAAACCCTAGGCCCAAGAAATAAATTCTAATCCCTGAACCCTAGCTAGACCCCAAGCCCTTCCCTCACACGCTGAATCCCAAACCCTAAACCCTAAACCCTAAACCCTAGTTTCTTGCGCGAGTGCGCAAGACAAAACTATAGAAGGATAAACTGAAGAGAAAAAGAGACAAAATAAATAATCAAAATAAATAATTAAATAGATAATTAAAATAAATAAATAAATAAATAAATAAATAAATAAATAAATAAAACCCCACCTCTAATATCTCTCTTTGGTACTCCAATTGAGTTGACAAAATTAAACTTAACTGCTGCTCCTGGGGGCCCCCCTGGGGGG